CAAGTTAAACGTATTTTGATTGATCCAGGTAGCTCGGCCAATATTTTTCGATCAAGGGTCGTAGAACAGCTCGGCCTACAAGATCAAATTGTGCCCGCAGCCCGAGTACTTAACGACTTCAACATGGCGAGCTAAACCACGAAAGGTGAAATTACTCTGCCAGCGAACGTGGCCGGGACCATCCAAGAAACAAAGTTCCATGTGATCGAGGGTGACATGAGGTACAATGCCCTACTTGGAAGGCCTTGGATCCATAACATGAGGGTAGTACCCTCGACCCTTCACCAATTTCTGAAGTTCCCGACATCGGAGGAAATCAAAATAGTGTACGGGGAACAACCCGCCGCCAAAAAGATATTTGCAGTCGATGAAGTGATACCGGCATCGACGCTCTCATCAATGAAGGGATCAGATTTGAAGGGAAAGCAGGAAGCCAAATAGCAACCACAGACACCGGTCTCGACCCAATTACAGAAGCAAAGGATCGACGAGGATGACGACTACTAGATCCCTCGATCCTTCATAATTCCCGATGACTCCAACGCCACCAAATCGATGGTCGAAGAGCTAGAACAAGTCACACTGGCCAAGTATCAGCCCAGACGAAAGGTATACCTGGGCACGGGGCTAACCCCCGAGCTCAGGAAAACACTTATTCATTTCCTTAAAGCTAACATGGATTGCTTTGCTTGGTTCCACCTCGATATAACAAGGATCCCACCAGAAATTACCAATCACAAACTGAGCCTGGACCCTAAATTTCGCTCGGTGAAGCAAAAAAGAAGGCCCTAGTCCGAGGTCAAACATGCCTTCATCAAATACGAGGTAACTAAACTTCTCAAAATAGGATCTATTCGGGAAGTAAAGTATCCCGAATGGTTAGCAAACGTAGTGGTAGTCCCTAAGAAGGGAAACAAACTTAGAATGTGTGTAGATTATAAAGACCTGAATAAAGCATTCCCCAAGGATTCTTTTCCTTTTCCTAATATCGATCGTATGATCGATGCCATGGCTGGCCATGAGACTCTCAGTTTTCTCGATGCTTACTCCGGGTACATCTAAATACAGATGAACCCGGAGGATCAAGAAAAGACCTCATTTATCACTAAGTACGGTACCTACTGTTATAACGTAATGCCATTCGATCTAAAAAATGCTGGTGCAACTTATCAACGCCTAGTAAACCGAATGTTCGAAGAACAAATAGGAAAATCAATGGAAGTTTATATTGATGACATGTTAGTTAATTCCCTGCGAGCAGAGGGCCATTTAAAGCATTTGCAGGAGACTTTCGATATACTGAGGAAGTATAATATGAAGCTCAACCCCGAAAAGTGTACATTCGGGGTTGGCTCTGACAAATTTCTTGGTTTCATGATGTCCAATCGGGGAATCGAGATCAACCCCGATAAAATCAAAGCTATCGAGGATATCACGGTAGTGGATAATGTAAAGGTTGTGCAGAGGCTGACGGGGCGAATAGCTGCCCTAGGACGATTCATTTCGAGATCCTCAGATAGGAGCCACCGATTCTTCTCGCTGCTTAAGAAGAAGAGCAATTTTGCATGGACTCCGGAATGCCAGCAGGCCTTGGAGGAACTAAAGCGGTATTTATCGAGCCCGCCGTTGCTTCACACCCCGAAAGTGGACGAACAACTTTACCTGTACTTGGCAGTCTCAGAGATGGCGGTAAATGGAGTCCTGGTCTGAGAAGAACAAGGTACACAATTCTCTATCTATTATGTTAGTCGGACCTTAGGTGAGGCCGAAACTAGATATCCACACTTAGAAAAATTAGCGCTTGCTTTAATAAGAGTCTCTAGGAAACTAAAACCATATTTCCAATATCATCCAATATGTGTTGTAACAACTTATCCTCTTCGAAATATTTTGCACAAACCCGAGCTTTAAGGTCGATTGGCCAAATTGGTCATAGAAATCAGCAGGTACGATATTGAGTATCGACCCCGAACCGCCATCAAGTCTCAAATCTTGGCGGACTTCGTGGCTAACTTTATGCCGGATCTCGTACCTGAGGTTGAAAAAGAACTACTGATAAAATCGGGTACATCTTCGGGAGTCTGGACCCTCTTTACGGACGGTGCTTCGAATGCGAAGGGGTCCGGATTAGGCATCGTACTAAAATCACCCATAGGTAATGTAGTTAGACAATCTATCAGAACTACAAAATTGACTAACAATGAGGCTGAGTATGAGGCCATGATTGCAGGTTTCGAACTAGCTAGAAGCTTGGGGGCGGAGATCATAGAGGCTAAGTGTGATTCCCTCCTCATGGTAAACCAAGTTAACGAGACTTTTGAAGTCCGAGAAGACCGAATGCATAGGTACCTGGATAAACTACATGTGACTCTACATCGATTTAGGGAATGGATCTTGCAACATGTACCTCGAGAACAGAACAGCGAGGCCGACGCTCTTGCAGACTTAGGTTCATCGGTTGGAGACGACGAACTCAACTCGGGGACTATTGTACAACTCATGAGATCGGTAATCAAAGAAGGTCACGCCGAGATAAACTCCACAAGTTTAACCTGGGATTGGAGAAACAAGTACATAGAGTACTTAAAGAATGGGAAACTTCCATCAGATCCAAAGGAGTCGAGAGCTCTGCGCACAAAAGCAGCACAGTTCACTTTGTCCGAAGACGGAACGTTGTTTAGAAATACGTTCGATGGATCGTTGGCAATATGTTTGGGACCGGGAGATACCGACTACATCCTACGGGAAGTTCTCGAGGGAACTTGTGGAAATCATTTAGGTACCGAATCACTGGTCCACAAAGTAATCAGAGTAGGGTACTATTGGACCGATATGGAGAAGGATGCAAGGGAGTTCGTTCAAAAATGCGACAAATGCCAAAGGCATGCGCCCATGATTCATCAACCCGGGGAACTACTCCACTCAGTCCTGTCCCCATGGCCCTTCATGAAATGGGTAATATACATCGTTGGCCCTCTCCCGTCGACCCCAGGTAAAGTTCAATTTATTTTATTTATGACTGATTATTTCTCTAAATGGGTTGATGTCCTCCGAAATTGTATGTGATAATGGAAAATAATTCAGCGGCAGTAAAGTAACTAAATTTCTCGAAGATCACAAGATCAAAAGGATCCTATCAACACCTTATCATCCCAGCGAGAACGGACAAGCCGAATCGACCAACAAAACCATCATCCAAAATCTTAAGAAGAGATTGGCCGACACCAAAGGGAAATGGAGAGAAATACTACCCGATGTTCTATGTGCATGCCGCACAATATCGAAATCCAGCACCGGAGCAATACCATTATCGTTAGTTTATGGCGCCTAAGCTCTAATCCCGGTCGATGTCGGAGAATCTACCATCAAGTTTTGATATGCAACAGAGGAGTCGAATAACGAGACCATGAACACGAGCCTAGAATTGTTGGATGAAAGACGCGAAGCCGCTCTCGTCCGATTGGCCGCTCAAAAACAGCGGATCGAAAGGTACTACAATCGAAGAGCCAATATTCAACATTTTAACATCGGGGACTTGGTGATAAGAAAAGTCACCCTCAACACCCGAAATCCGAATGAAGGGAAACTGGGTCCGAACTGGGAATGACCGTACCAGGTTCTCAAAATCATCGGAAAAGGAACCTACAAGCTCGGCATGATGAATGGCGAATAACTGCCGAGCAATTGGAACGTATCGCACCTAAAATGATACTACTATTAAGGTACGACCTCTTCTATTTTTCATTTATATTTTAAACTAACATTTGCAGGTGTTAAACCAAAAACAACGATGGATTCTTCGACACGAAGCCTTTAGGTCTGAAAGCACGTGTTGCACTCTTTTTTCCTTAGATCGGTTTTGTCCCAAATGGGTTTTCTGGCAAAGTTTTTAATAAGGCAACCATTGATCATGCTAACTTATAACAATTCAACAGTGTCCAAGGTTTCTTTAAAATCAACCTTGAATACTGGGGGGCATTGCCATCGCATGTCAACATTGATGCGAAGAAATTACTTCATGGCAGCAAGGTCTCGATAGGAAAAATTTGTAAGGGCCAAACGGTCAAACGAAGTATTTTTCTTTGCCGATATCTCATTCCTTAGAAATTCTTTTTCTACTTTACAATTCTATACTCTAGATCTATTATGTAAACAGGCTTAAGGGCTGACCATAACCAGAGTTCGGATAATCATCCCCACGCTCGGGGACTACCATCCGAAAAATAAATGAGATCAAATCATTAAAACTCTGATATCATAAGACCTTTTAGGCAACCCTCAATTTTTATAGGCCACGGCCACCCCACTCGGGGACTGACACTTCGGGCAAGCTCGAAGTAAAATGGAAAAATAAGCCCATGGGGCAAATCCTGAACCAAAAAGGCTATGGCTGAATTAACATGGTTCGGAGACGTCCGAATTCCGTAACAAAATAGGCCTTCGAATTCCCTCAAAAATTGGTTAAAAGGGCTACCCCCGGCAAAATCATAAAAGGCTTCGATAACATCAAGCCTCGAAAAACTCTAATGAGTACAAAATTGTTCGAACTCCCGAACAGTTCCTTATTGCATGCTAAGGCATTACAAGTTTTGCAAATGCAAATGATAAAAACTTTTTCAAGCTGAAAAGGGGAGAAAGCCATAAATAATCTTTTTACAAAGGCTATATCGACCTAATACAAAAGTCTAAGGGCTGTTTTTGCTTTGAGTTCGAGAGACCATCCTCGCTCAAATAAAAAACCTAAGGGTTACCTTACTTCGAGTTCGAGCAAGCACTCACTCGATAGTAAATCATAAGGGCTATACTAGTTCGGTTTCAATTAAATTGTCTAAATCTCGGACCTTAGAATACAACTTCATACTTTTATAAGGAAGAAAGGAAGAAAGATTTATATATATATATACACGTCAAAAAGCATTTACAAAGGCAACATGGCACGATCAAATTTCTATACAAAGACCGAAACGGTCTTAAAAGAAACACAAAAAATACTAAAAGACTTAGTCTTCTCCGGGAACAGCATCTTCTCTTTCGAGGCCTTCTCCACTTTCATATCCGCTCACACTCCCAGAATCATCATCATTAGGAAAGGACAACACTCCGGATTCAGCTTCGAGCTCCTTAGCATTCTCGATCTCGGCTGTAAGATCGAAGCCACGAGCATGGATCTCTTCAAGAGTCTCCCTTCGAGACTGGCATTTAGCATGCTCGACAATCTAGTTTGCTCGAGCCTAAGCAGCTTTGGCAACCTCCTTTGCTCGAACCTGAGCAGCTTCAGCGTCGGATTGGTAGACGGCCACCATTGCATCAGTATTAGCCGTGGCCGTTTCGACCTCCGATTTAGCCGCTGCAAGTGTAACGACCCGGCCGGTTGTATTGAGTGTATTAGCCCTGATCCCCTATTTACTTCTTCTCCCGTAGGTTTTTCTGCTTATGTGACTTGACGGGAGGTTTTGTTTTTGGTTTCGGAGTATTTTGGGACACTTAGTCCCTAAACGGAAGCTTAAGCCTTAGAATTTTGACTGTAGTCGGAACTATATGAAGACAACTCCGGAATGGAGTTCCTTCAGTTCCGTTAGTTCCGTTGGGTGATTTTGGACTTAGGAGCGTGTCCGGACTGTGAATTGGAGGTCCTTAGCTGATTTAGGCTTGAATTGGTGAAAGTCAAATTTTTGGAGATTTTGGCCGGTGGTGGACTTTTTGATATCGGGGTTGGATTCCGATTCTGGAAGTTGGAGTACGTCCATAATGTCAATTATGACTTGTGTGCAAAATTTGAGGTCAATCATACGTGATTTGATATGTTTCGGCATCGATTGTAGAAGTTTGAAGTTTCAAAGTTCATTAAGTTTGAATTGGAGGGCGATTCGTGTTTTTAGCGTTGTTTGATGTAATTTGAAGGCTCGACTAAGTTTGTATGGTATTTTAGGACTTGTAGGTATATTTGGTTGAGGTCCCGGGGGGCCTTAGGTTGATTTCGGGTGGTTAACGGATCATTTTGGAGTTAGGAGAGATTGCAGATTTCTGGTGTTCTTCAGTTTTGGTTTCCTTCTTCGCGTTCGCGAGGGGATTCTCGCGTTCGCGAAGAGGAATTGGAGGCAGGCGAGATTTTGTGCTTCGTGTTCGCAATGGAGGTCCCGCGTTCGCGAAGCACTGAGGTACTTGGTGTACGCGTTCGCGATGGAGGTCCCGCGTTCGCTTAGAGGTATTGGCCAACTGGGTCCTCAGGCCCTTTTTGCCTACACGTTCGCGACGTTGGTCCCTCGTTCGCATAGGGTCGAGCTAAGTGGTCTTCGCGTTCGCGACAAGGCCATCGCGTTTGCGATGAAGGATTTTGGACTGAAGCAATTTTGTGCTTCACGAACGTGAGGGTGTGGCCGCGTTCGCGAAGAAGGGATACCTGGGCAGTATTAAAGTTTCCAACAAACAAGGGTTAGCCATTTTTATCAAAACTTGGGTTAGAGAGCTCGGATTTGGACAAGATTTTGAGGGATTTTCAGAGACATCGATTGGGTAATGATTCTTCACTTATTTATGGTTATATCCCACTAATCTATCACTAATTTCATCTTTTAATTTCGGATTTGGGTGGAACATTTGGGAAAATTTGGGAAGAAGTTCTTCAACTAAGATTTAGGGTTTTGATTGAGATTTTGATATCGGATTTGGATAATTTTGGTACGAGTGAACTCGTGAGTGAATGGATGTTCATATTTTGTGACTTTTACCCTATTCCGAGATGTGGGCCCCGGTCAACTTTTTGGGACGGTTTTCTAATTTTTTGCTTTAGCTTTGATTTCATTAATTAGATTAATTTTGTATAGTCGTATTTATGGTATGTAATTGATTTTGGCTAGATTTGGGCCATTTAGAGTCGGATATTCGTGAAAAAGGCATTGTTACCAATTGATTGAGCTTGGTTCAAGGTAAGTGGCTTGCCTAACCTTGTGTGGGGGAAATCCCCTTAGGATTTGGTACTGTTGTGATATGTGAGCGTTGTGTACGTGAGGTGACGAGTACGTACACAGGCTATTCATTGTAAAACCCGATTTATTTTACTAAGTAGTAACCTGTTTTTCTTTTAATTTGAGTTATATAGTTTAAATGAGTATTAGTCTGTTTTTATTCTTAATTGAGCTATTCCAATATGTGTAGTTATCCTGTTTAGTCTAATATCGCATGTCTGCGTGCTTTAGCTGCTTATTTTGTCACGACCCAATTTAGGATCATGACCGGCACTTAGGAGCAAGTGCCCCTAAGTAAGCCGTACCGATATTTTATAGAAAAACGGACATCTAGAAATTTTCCTTGTCTCAAATCAACAACCAAACACCCTAATATCAATTCATACAACGATAACTTTATCAATTAACCCAAACAAATATCTTCCATTAATAGTCCATCCACTAACAGCTAGAAATACTAATTTATCTCCAACTTTGATAATAAAGAGCGATACTCAACATAAGTCTATAATAACCAAAGAATACTCATGACACTAAAGGAATGACTATGGAGCGACTCTAAGAGTTCAAAGAAAAGACCATAAAATAAATAAAATCACCGCCCACGCGAACAAGTGTGAGGCTCACCAAGAACTATCAACGTGTGCGCTCTAATTAACAAAATCCTCGCCCGCGTCAACTGCTGTCTCTGTAAAAATAATTAGCGGGGAGTGAGTCGCTAGCTTAGTGAGCAATAACACTTAACCACAACCGTTTTTATTGGGGACAAGTCAGAAAACATGCTAGTATATATTAAACAGAAAATATCATAAAAATGCCCTTTTAGAAACAATAAACAATAATCGGTCTCATCATGTTTTTCATGTAATATAAATCAATTGACAATTCGGTAATAAGCTCGGTTAATACTGTGTAATAGCAATATTCATGTTTGGGAGGTTTCAATGAATGGATCATGTAATCGGTATAAATGTGGACTTCTTCGCAAGAAGTTAAATATAACGGTAGTCCCTACTCGAGGGAAATCGGTAACGTTATGCTAGTTCTACCGTCCCACTAGCGAGGGTTGTAATGGTAATCGGTAATTACAAGGTGCACCGGGTCTAACGAACCCGCTGTTAGCTACGGGATCCTTCAAAGTCTACTCCAATTTATACTTGTCTCTGTAATCCGTATATACTCATAAGAAAATATTTTAAAACAATATAGAGCATTTCGGTTCTTATCAAATCATGTAATTCATTTCGATAACAGTAAATTCAAGAAACAGTAAAATATGTCTAGTGATAACAAGAATACTTAAAATAACGGTAATCATCTCAAATAACTATTTCGGTATCATATCGAGTAAAAGACCTGTCCCACATGCAACTCAAAATAATCGATAACATATTCATATTAAAAAATCATGTGTAAATCATGCAAGTTATAAAAATATAAATTGCGGTAAGATTACTACTCACAGTACTCGTGCCGAAATACCAAATGCTTCACCTCGAGCAATTCTTACAAATTCCTCCAATCAATCTACAATTACATAATATCGATCTCATGTTAATTTCCTTGTTTAGGCTAATTCATAGCTAATTTAGAATACCCAACCCTCGAGGTTTCATATTTGACTCTTAATTCGCCGAATTATATTTACCCACATATGAGTAATTACTAATCTATCAGCTCCAACCTATTCATATAATTTATTAATCCAATTTCATAAAGTTCTATTGATTCTTTAGGAAGAAAATTCTCAATTGCATGAATGAACTAGTGAAATTTCTATTACTCTGTAGAATCTTCCAATCATGAGAATCGAAATTAAAATCAATTAGAAGAAGAAGCTCAAGTATTACCTGTAAGACTCAATCAATGCTTAAGATTCCTCAACAGTTATAGCTATGGTTCCAACGCACTACGCCAACTTCTTTTATCTTTTCCTTGTTTCTTTCTCTGCTGGTTCGTGTTTGTTTTTTTCGTTTCCTGAAGCTTTCTGCATCGTTCCCCTTCCCCCAACCCTTTTAAACTTTTGGGCAGATATGTTTGTAATGGGCTTCGGCCCTTTTGTTTCAATTCCTAACCTTTTTCCTTTTTATTTTTATTTTATTAGTTGCTAAATGACTTATATATCCTTGTTTAAAATTATTGGATATTACATCCTCCCCACCTTATATAAATTTGGTCCCCGAATTTAATTCAATTACGTACCTATAGACTGGAATAAATGAGGATACTTGACTCGCATAGTATCTTCCACTTCCCATGTAGCTTCTTCAACTGTATGGTTTCTCCATATGACTTTCACGAACATAATTTCCTTTGACCGTAGTTTTCTTACTTGTCTATCAACAATTGTCATCGGCTCCTCCTCGTAAGACAACTTCTCATCAAGTGGTATAGTCGGTGCTTCAAGCACATGAGAGGAGTCCGATATACATTTTCTAAGCATATAGACATGAAATATTGGATGAATAGAAGACAACTCAGGAGGAAGTGCCAAACGAAAAGCCACAGCTCCCACTCGGTCTAGTATTGCATGGGGTCCTACAAATCTGGGGATCAACTTGCCTCTTTTCCTAAATCGCATCACACCTTTCATAGGAGAGACTCGTAGGAATACTTTGTCTCCAGTTGCGAACACTAAGTCTCTTCTTCTCTTATCTGCATAAGATTTTTGTCTACTTTGAGCTATAAGCAATCTCTGTCTGATCAACTGGACCTTGTCCATAGCTTCTTGTACTAAGTCGGGTCCCAATAAGTTAGTCTCACCAGCTTCAAACCATCTGATAGGAGAACGGCACCTTCTACCATACAATGCTACGTACAATGCCATTTGAATACTGGACTGGAAGCTATTGTTGTAAGCAAATTCAGCTAAAGGTAGATAAATGTCCCAACTACCTCCAAACTCAAGAATGCAAGCTCTCAACATATCCTCCAAGATCTGTATAGTACGTTCAGACTGCCCGTCTGTCTGTGGGTGAAATGCAGTACTAAGATCTACTTGTGTACCTAATGCTTCTTGAAAAGATTTCCAAAAGTGTGAGTAAATTGTGATCCTCTATCATAAATGATGGATATTGGAACTCCGTGAAGTCGTACAATTTCGTTCATAAATATATGTGCATACCTCACTCCACCATATGTAGTCTTCACTAGCAAAAAGTGTGCTGATTTCGTCAGTCGATCTACAATCACCCATACCGAGTCATAACCTCTGAGGGTTTGTGGTAGACCGGTGACAAAATCCATAGTAATTCTTTCCCATTTCCACTCTGGAATCTCAATTTGTTGTAACAGTCCTGCGGGTTGCTGATGCTCAGCCTTGACCTGCTAACAAGTCAAAAAACTAGAAACAAAGTTAGCAACATCTTTATTCATACCTTCCCACCAATAAAATTGCTATAGGTCATGATACATTTTTGTGGATCCAGGATGTATAGTCTATCTAGAGTTGTGAGATTCTTCAAGAATAGCATGTCTCAACCCATCTACATCTGCTACACATAGCCTGTCACCCATTCGAAGCACACCATTACTTTTAACAATCATATCCTTGCTTTTACCAGCTAAGGCCTCATTTTTGTATTTGCATAATCACTCATCCTCATATTGGGTGGCCTTAATGCGCTCAACTAATGAAGACTTAGCTTGAGCACAAGCCAACAATGCTTCTGAATTTCCGACACTAAATCTGATACCTGTATCTTCTAGTCTCTGAATATCTTTGGCCAAAAGTCTCTTTACAGGAGTTATATGTGCCAAACTCCCTATAGATTTTCTACTCAATGCATCAGCCACCACATTGGCTTTTCCAGGATGATATAAAATAGAACAATCATAATCTTTGAGTAGTTCCATCAACCGATGCTGCCGAAGATTCAGATCTCTCTGCTGAAAGATATACTTCAGACTTTTTTGGTCAATATAAATCTCACAAGTTTCGCCGTATAGATAATGCCTCCAAATTTTTAGAGCAAATACCACTGCAGCCATCTCAAAATCATGTGTAAGATAGTTTTGCTCGTGCTTTTTCAATTGTCTCGAAGCATAAGTTATAACGCGACTATTTTTCATGAGAACACATCCTAATCCCACCCTCGATGCGTCACAGAACACCGTAAATCCTCCGGAACCTGATGCTAAGGCTAATATTGGTGCAATTGTCAAACATGTTTTGAGTTTTTGAAAGCTATGCTCACATTCCTCCATCCATTGAAACTTTGCATTTTTTTGTGTTAGCTTAGTTAGTGGCGCTGCTATTTTTGAGAAATCCTGCACAAAACGCCTGTAATAGCCTGCTAAGCCTAAAAAGTTGCTAATCTCTGTAGGAGAAGTAGGTCTGGTCCATTTCTGCACAGCTTCGGTCTTCTTAGAATCTACCATAATTCCATCTTTGGATACAACATGCCCCAGAAATGATACTGAGTCTAGCCAAAATTCACACTTTGAGAACTTAGCATAAAGCCGATGTTCTCTCAATGTTTGCAACATGGTCCTGAGACGATTCTCGTGTTCTTCTTGGCTATGAGAATATATCAGGATATCATCAATAAATACTATGACAAATCTAGTCCATAAATGGCTTGAACACCATATTCATTAAATCCATGAATGTAGCTGGATCATTAGTCAGTCCGAAAGGCATCACAAGAAACTCATAGTGCCCGTATCGAGTTCTGAAAGCAGTCTTAGAAATATCTTCATCTTTGATTCTAAGTTGATGATAACCAGAACAAAGGTTAATCTTTGAAAAGTAGGCTGCTCCTTGTAGCTGATCAAACATGTCATCTATACGAGGCAAAGGATATTTATTGTGTATTGTTATCTTGTTCAACTGCCTGTAGTCAATGCACATTCTCAGGGATCCATCTTTCTTCTTTACGAACAGCACTGGTGCACCCCATGGTAATACACTAGGTCTGATAAAACCCTTATCTAGCAAATCCTGCAAACTATTGCTTTATCTCCCTCAACTCTGCTGGTGCCATCCGATATGGGGGTATTGATATGGGTTGTGTGTCATGTGGCAAATCAACACCAAAATCTATTTCTCGTACTCGAGGCAATCTTGGTAAATCCTCAGGAAATACACCAGAAAATTCTCTCACTACTGGTATATTTTCTATACTAACTATTTCCTTTCTTGTGTCATTTACAATAGCTAAGAGACCCAAGCAACCTTTCTTCAGAAGTCGTTGAGCTTTCATAAAAGATACAACTTTGCAAATCTCTGGAACCTGACTCCCTCTTAGAATAAAATTAGGTTCATTTGGTATCTCAAACTTAACTATCTTTGCATGACAATCGACGATAGTATAGCAAGAAGATAACCAATCCATTTCCATCAACATGTCAAAGTCAATCATATCAGGTACAATAAGGTCAGCTAGAGTATCTCTACCCTCAACCCGAATCTGACAAGCACGATACACGTATTCAGCTAATAGAGACTCCCCAACAGGAGTAGAACCTAGAAAAGGATCATTCAATAGCTCAGGTTGTCTATTAAACCTCAAAGCAAAGTATGAGGACACATAGGAGTGAATAGTTCCTGGATCAATCAATGCAAGAGCAACAAATGAACATACAGAAAGAATACCTGTGACCATAGCATTCGAGGCCTGAGCATCCTGTCTAGTAAATGCAAAAACTCTCGCTTTACATCTACCAGCATTCCCTTATCCTTGATTCACAGTAACACGATCTCTAGCACCTCGACCTCTATTTCCTGTACCTATAGCACCTGAAGTATTACGAGTAGTCTGAGTTGGGAGGTACAAGAAGTACCATTCTCCTACCTTCAGTGGATTGGCGTTAGAGGATGCCTAGTGTTTTCTGGAGGAGTGTCACCGTATTCTCCATTCTATGGGTGTAGCGGAGTCGATCGGGTTTCCTTTACTGCATTCCAACTTAGAGGAGCAGCCTATCAGTGTTGGCATGCTTATGAGTTAAGTAGTCCGGCTGAGGCAACTTCACTTATATGGACTCAGTTCTCGGACATGTTTTTGAGAGAGTATGTCCCTCAGAGCCTCAGGACGTATGGCGCGCGGAGTTTGAGTAGTTGCGCTAGGGTGCTATGACTGTATTAGAGTATGTAGTTCGCTTCAGTGACTTGGCCCGACATGTACCAGCCTTGGTTGCCACAGTTCGAGAGAGGGTTCGTCGGTTTATTAAGGGACTCCACCCAAGTATCAGGATTAGTATGGCCCGGGAGTTAGAGATGAATATTTCTTACCAGCAGGTTGTGAGTATTGCTAGGAGATTGGAGGGCATGCTTGCTCGGGATAGAGAGGAGAGGGAGGCCAAGAGGTCCCAAGAGTCTGACACTTATAGTGGTACTCGTGGCCCAGCTACAGTTCGCCAGTGGTATTCCGGCCCTATCTAGGCCCCAAGAGCTTTATTATGCACCGCCAGTATCTAGTGCACCTCCTGCACGGGGTGCTTTTAGTAGTCAGTCTAGCAGACCTGGCCTGAGCCAGTCACAGTAACCACGCTCTCCGAAAGCTTATTTTGAGTGTGGTGACACTCGCCATATAGCGAGGGATTGCCCCAAACTTAGGAGGGGTGCACCTCTACAGACTTCTCAGGCACAACGTGTTCCGCCGGGTCCTCAGGCTATGATTCCAGCACCAGTTACCGCCCTACCTACTCAGCCAGCTCGAGATGGAGGTCGGGGAGGTCGAGGTCGCCCTAGAGGGGGAGGCCAGGCCAGATATTATGCTCTTCCACCTCATACATAGGCAATTGCTTCCGACTATGTCATTACAGGTATTGTTCTGGTTTGTCATAGAGATGCGTCGGTCTTATTTAATCTAGCCTCTACATATTCCTATGTGTCCTCTTATTTTTGCCCCGTATTTGGGCGTATCTCGGGATTCCTTGAGTTCCTCTGTTTATGTGTCTACTCATGTGGGAGATTCTCTTATTGTGGACCGCATGTATTGGTCGTGTTTGATTGATCGTAGTGGTTTTGAGACCAGATTTGATTTATTATTGCTCAGTATGGTAGACTTTGATGTTATCTTGGGCATGGACTGGTTGTCGCCCCATTATGCTATTCTTGATTGTCACTCTAAGACCGTGTCGCTAGCTATGCCAGGATTACTGCGATTAGAGTGGAGAGGTACCTTAGAGTATACTCCCAGCAGAGTTATTGCATTTCTTAAAGCTCAATGAATGGTTGAGAAGGGGTGTGACGTGTATCTAGCTTATGTGAGAGATGTCAGTATTGATGCCCCTACAGTTGAGTCAGTCCCAGTAGTGAGGGACTTTCCAGATGTGTTTCCAGTTAATCTTCCGGGCATGACGCCCGATAGAGATATTGATTTTAGCATTGATTTGTTGACGGGCACTCAGCCCATCTCTATTCCTCCATATCGTATGGCTCCTCCTGAGTTGAAGGAATTGAAAGAGCAGTTATAGGAGTTGCTTGATAAGGGCTTCATTCGGCCCAGTGTACCACCTTGGGGTGCTCCTGTCTTATTTGTGAAGAAGAAGGATGGTTCTTTGCGGATGTGTATTGATTACCGCCAGTTGAACAAAGTCACAGTGAAGAACAGGTATCCATTGGCTCGTATTGGTGATTTATTTGATCAGCTACACGGTGCCAGAGTGTTTTCCAAGATTGACTTACGTTCAAGCTATCATCAGTTGAATATTCGGGAGCCAGATATCCCGAAGACTGCTTTCAGGACTCGGTATGGTCACTACGAGTTCCTTGTGATGTCATTTGGGCTGACCAACGCCCCGGCAGCATTTATGCACTTGATGCACAGTGTGTTCCAACCCTATCTTAACTCATTCATCATTGTGTTTATTGACAACATTCTG